TTATTACATCAAAATAATTATAATTAATATGCCTTGGCTGTTGGGAGTCAATCATGATATATTTTAAAAATTAATTCAGTTTATAAGTACACTAGTGATGATGAGTATGAAAGTCCAAAGTGAGTGAGTGTGTGTGTGTGTGTGTGTGTGTGTGTGTGTGTGTATGAGAGAGAGATCTGTTCGTTTGAGTATGTTGCTACTAAAGAGAACACGGCATAAGGTTCACATAACAAACCAAGCTAAACAGTAAGAGAAAAATACTCCTCTGAAGAGAACTTAATACTATTAAAGCCTGTAGTTCATGTCCAGGCAAATTAAATAATTCTTTTTTCTATATTGCCTAAGTATCATGCATATTTTACTATTTAGGCCTACCAGCCAAAGTATAGTATCACTTATTGATCCAAAATTTTGATCAACGGAACAAGTTACCCTAGGGATAACAGCGCAATCCTATTCTAGAGTCCATATCGACAATAGGGTTTACGACCTCGATGTTGGATCAGGACATCCTAATGGTGCAGCAGCTATTAAGGGTTTGTTTGTTCAACGATTAAAGTCCTACGTGATCTGAGTTCAGACCGGAGTAATCCAGGTCGGTTTCTATCTATTACGCATTTCTCCCAGTATGAAAGGACAAGAGAAGTAAGGCCAACTTTAAAAAAGCGCCTTCAAACAATTAGTGACCCAGTCTCAACCTAATAAACTAGCGCAAACATACTCTGCCCAAGACCAGGGCTTTGTTGAAGTGGCAGAGTACGGCAATTGCATAAAACTTAAGCTTTTATACCCAGAGGTTCAAATCGTCTCTTCAACAAATGTTTATAATTAACATTTTAACACTCATCCTTCCCATTCTTTTAGCTGTAGCATTTCTAACATTAGTAGAACGCAAAATCCTAGGCTATATACAACTCCGACCCATTCTTTTAGCTGTAGCATTTCTAACATTAGTAGAACGCAAAATCCTAGGCTATATACAACTCCGAAAAGGACCCAACATCGTAGGTCCATATGGCTTATTACAACCCTTCGCCGATGCAATCAAACTATTCACCAAAGAACCCTTAGGACCAGCCACATCCTCCACCACCATATTCATCATCGCACCCGTACTCGCACTAACCCTGGCCCGCACAATATGAGCTCCCCTACCCATACCACACCCCCTCATCAACATAAACCTAGGAGTACTCTTCATATCAGCAATATCAAGCCTAGCGGTCTACTCTATTCTATGATCTGGATGAGCTTCTAATTCAAAATACGCCTTAATCGGAGCACTACGAGCAGTAGCACAGTCTCACATGAAGTAACATTAGCTATTATTCTTCTATCTGTACTTCTAATAAATGGCTCCTTCACTCTATCCACACTAAACACTACACAAGAAAAACTATGACTGCTCTTCCCCTCATGACCATTAGCCATAATATGATTTATTTCCACCTTAGCAGAAACTAACCGAGCCCCTTTCGACCTCACAGAAGGAGAATCAGAACTCGTATCTGGCTTTAACGTAGAATATGCAGCAGGCCCTTTCGCCCTGTGCTTCCTAGCAGAATATGCTAACATCATCATAATAAACACATTCACAACTATCTTATTTCTAGGAGCATTCCATGACCCCTACACACCAGAACTATGCACAACAAACCTAATCATTAAATCGCTACTATTAACAATATCCTTCCTATGAATCCGAGCATCCTACCCCCGATTCTGATATGACCAACTAATACACCTCCTCTGAAAAAACTTCCTCCCACTGACACTAGCTCTCTGCCTATGACACATCTCACTACCCATTATAACAGCAGGTATCCCACCCCAAACATAAAATAAGAAATATGTCTTACAAAAGAATTACTTTGATAGAGTAAATAATAGAGGTTTGAGTCCTCTTATTTCTAGAATAATAGGAATCGAACCTACCCTTAAGAATTCAAAATTCTCCGTGCTACCACACTACACCATAATCTATAGTAAGGTCACCTAAATAAGCTACCGGGCCCATACCCCGGAAATGTTGGTTCATATCCTCCCCATACTAATTAACCCATTCGTCTCTATCACCCTACTAACAACCCTCGTCCTAAGCACAACAATTGTCACCATTAGCTCCCATTGACTGTTCGCCTGAATTGGACTAGAAATAAACATGATAGCCATCATTCCTATCATAATAAAAAAACCTAACCCCCGAGCCACAGAGGCCTCAGCCAGATACTTTCTAACACAAGCCACAGCATCCTCATTACTCATACTAGCAATTATTATTAACCTAATACACGCCAGCCAATGAACTATCATAAAATTATTCGACCCAACAGCATCCGTTCTAATAACAATAGCTTTAGCCATTAAACTAGGATTATCCCCTTTTCACTTCTGAGTACCAGAAGTTACACAAGGTGTTCCCCTAAGCACAGGACTAATTCTACTTACGTGACAAAAACTCGCACCCATCTCAATCCTTTATCAAATCTCACCATCAATCAATCTACACCTAATAATCACTATATCCTTTCTATCGATTCTAATCGGAGGCTGAGGTGGACTAAACCAAACGCAACTCCGAAAAATCATAGCCTATTCATCAATTGCTCACATAGGATGAATAACCGCTATTTTATTATACAACCCAGCCCTCACTCTACTAAATCTATTAATTTACATTGTAATAACCTTCACCATATTTATACTACTCATCCAAAACTCCACTACCACCACACTACTACTATCCCAAACATGAAATACAATACCTGTTATAACAACCTTTACTATGCTCACCCTACTCTCCATAGGAGGACTTCCTCCACTCACAGGCTTTATACCCAAATGAATGATTATTCAAGAACTAACAAAAAATGATACCCTCATCCTACCCACCCTCATAGCCATCACAGCTCTACTCAACCTATATTTCTATATACGCCTTACCTACTCCACAGCATTAACCCTATTCCAGCAACATAAAAATAAAATGACAATTCCACTCCACAAAACAAATAACCCTTTTACCAACAGCAATCGTACTATCCACAATACTTCTACCTCTTACACCAGCACTCTTTGTCCTACTATAGGGGTTTAGGTTAAATAAGACCAAGAGCCTTCAAAGCCCTAAGCAAGTATAATTCTACTTAACCCCTGCCCAATAAGGATTGCAAGACCACATCTCACATCAATTGAATGCAAATCAAACACTTTAATTAAGCTAAATCCTCACTAGATTGGAGGGATACATCTCCCACGAACTTTTAGTTAACAGCTAAATACCCTAATAAACTGGCTTCAATCTACTTCTCCCGCCGCGAGAAAAAAAAGGTGGGAGAAGTCCCGGCAGGATTGAAGCTGCTTCTTTGAATTTGCAATTCAAAATGATTACTCACCACAGGACTTGGCAAAAAGAGGACTTTACCCCTGTCTTCAGATTTACAGTCTAATGCCTACTCGGCCATTTTACCTATGTTCATAAACCGATGACTATTCTCTACCGATCACAAAGACATTGGTACCCTGTATTTACTATTTGGCGCCTGGGCAGGAATAGTGGGTACTGGTCTAAGCTTGCTGATTCGTGCTGAATTAGGTCAGCCTGGCACACTTATCGGAGACGACCAACTTTATAATGTTCTAGTAACAGCCCACGCCTTCGTAATAATTTTCTTTATGGTTATACCTATCATAATTGGGGGATTTGGAAACTGACTAGTTCCCTTGATAATTGGAGCCCCTGACATAGCATTCCCTCGTCTAAACAACATAAGCTTCTGACTACTTCCCCCCCTTCCTTTCTACTACTGACAGCATCTTCAATAACTGAAGCCGGCGCAGGCACAGGCTGAACTGTATATCCTCCTCTAGCCGGAAACCTAGCACACGCAGGAGGCCTCAGTAGACCTTACTATTTTCTCTCTACATTTAGCCAGTATATCTTCAATCCTGGGGGCTATTAACTTCATTACAACTATTATTAATATAAAACCGCCCGCTATAACCCAATACCAAACACCTCTCTTCGTGTGATCAGTCTTGGTCACAGCAGTTTTACTCTTACTGTCGCTACCCGTCTTAGCAGCCGGAATTACCATACTATTAACTGATCGAAACCTAAACACAACCTTTTTCGACCCGGCAGGAGGAGGCGACCCAATCCTGTATCAACACCTGTTCTGATTTTTTGGCCATCCCGAAGTATATATTCTAGTTCTGCCCGGCTTCGGAATAATTTCACATTATCGTTACCTATTATTCGGGGAAAAAAGAACCTTTCGGGTATATGGGAATAGTATGAGCTATAGTTTCTGTTGGTTTCCTGGGTTTTACTGTATGAGCTCATCATATATTTACAGTTGGAACAGACGTAGATACACGAGCATACTTTACATCAGCCACTATAATTATTGCTATTCCTACAGGAGTAAAAGTCTTCAGCTGACTGGCAACACTTCACGGAGGAAATATTAAATGATCTCCCGCCCTAATATGAGCTTTAGGCTTTATTTTCTTATTCACAGTAGGAGGTCTAACTGGTATTATCCTGGCTAATTCATCCCTAGACATTATTCTCCACGACACCTATTATGTAGTTGCCCATTTTCACTATGTGCTTTCAACAGGAGCTGTCTTCGCCATCATAGGAGGTTTCGTCCACTGATTTCCACTATTTTCAGGCTATACACTTAACCCAACATGAACAAAAATCCAATTTATAATTATATTCGTAGGTGTAAATATGACATTCTTTCCACAGCACTTCCTAGGCCTATCTGGAATACCTCGCCGATACTCCGACTATCCAGATGCCTACACAACATGAAATACCATCTCGTCAATAGGCTCCTTTACCTCACTGACAGCAGTCATACTGATAATCTTCATTATCTGAGAAGCATTCGCATCTAAACGGGAAGTATTGGCAGTAGACCTCACCTCCACAAACCTTGAATGACTAAACGGATGTCCTCCACCATATCACACATTTGAGGAACCAGTATATGTTAACCTAAAATATTCAAGAAAGGAAGGAATCGAACCCCCTCTAATCGGTTTCAAGCCAACATCATAACCATTATGTCTTTCTTTATGAGTGAGATATTAGTAAAGTCTTACGTAACTTTGTCAAAGTTAAATCACAAGTGAAAATCCTGTATATCTCCATGGCATACCTTTTCCAACTAGGCTTACAAGACGCAGCATCACCTGTTATAGAAGAACTCCTACAGTTTCATGACCACGCATTACTGATTGTTTTCCTAATTAGCTCCCTAGTCCTCTATATTATTACCCTAATACTTACAACCAAATTAACACACACTAGTACAATAGACGCTCAAGAAGTAGAAACTATTTGAACTGTCCTCCCTGCCGTTATCTTAATTATAATCGCCTACCTTCTCTACGAATTCTCTACATAATAGACGAAATTAACAATCCCTCCCTTACCGTAAAAACAATAGGACATCAATGATATTGAAGCTATGAATATACTGACTA